TTCTTTTTTTTTTTGTAACAGTAAAACTGATACAGAAAATAAATGAACATTAATGTAAAAAAAAAAGCAAATACAGTAAGCCACAACAAGTTCAAAAAAAAAATAACAAATCATTATGGAAGGAAAGAAAAAGCGGATTTATAAGTTAAATATTCTTTGACCAATTCTGATCACTGTTTATTTCTCGTTTATTGAACATTTATCAAATACAAATGACAAATTTGAATGCTTGATTGCTATTTTCAACGGCAAAACATATAGATAAATAAAAAAAAAAAACTCTGTATTATTTAAAAAACACCGCTTCACTGATAGAATTTGAATTGGACAGCTTTAGCGTGCACACCAAATGACAAAGATCAACGTTGACAAGCAGGAAATACATAATTTTCTGTTACTTGTTTCTTCACGCTTTATGACTGCCGTGTGATTCTTTATCGTCAAATTTTCCAACAATATTATAGAGAATAATGTGATAAATTACGAAAAAAAAAAGAAGAAAAGTAAAATGAAAATTATGTACAAAGAAAAGTGATTATGATTTTCACTGGTTTAAATTGATCACAACAGACTAAAGTTTTTTGAAAGAACCTTAAACTAATGCTGATATTTATTAATGAAATGAAAATGATAAATTATGTAGGTTTTTTTTCACTTTTTTTTGACAAAAAAGAATTTAAAAAAGTTTTAATAGTTTTATGTTACAGTGTAATGTCACTGTACTTCTTAGCGTGTTGGTATGCGGGTCGTTTAAGTGATAATTTGGTAGTTGGCGATTGCATTGAACTGCACTGCAATAAACTGTAACAAAACAAAGAGCCTTTTTACAGTTTCACAAAAATATTTACGGGTAAAAAATTTATAGTGCTTTACTTCGCTGTCAACTGGTAGGTATTTTCCTACTGTTTACCATATTATACCTGGTTTGATCTAAGAACTTTAAACAAGTGCTCAGAGCAAGTTTACTTTTCAGCCAGAGAGTGTAAATTTCAGAAAACTGAAAGTGGTCGGTGGAAAAAATGAAAAACAGAAACTGAACAGCGATTCGTTGACGGCCTCTGAAATTTTTGCTAAACAATGCACGGCAATTTCAAAATCGCAACATCTTTTAGTGGAATAAACGAATTTAATTACTCAGAGAAACAGCAGTGACATGATAATCAATTTCATGCAACGTTTTTGTGCTAGAAATAGAATGTTGTTTTTTTATGCCTTACTTCTGAAAACCATAAATGCACTAAAGTTTTATTTATAAACTCGGTTTCAAAGAAGTTATTTCAACTGAATGGTACAAGTGAAACAGCGAAGGAAGAAAAAGGGAAAGAAAGCAAAAAAAAGAATTAAACAATAAAATATAGACTGCTAAACTTAGATAAAAAAGAGTTCGAAATGAATAAAATAAAAAAATAGGTAAAATTTTGACTAAAATAAGTATTCTGATTTATGGCTTATTCTATTTGAAAACAATAATAGTTGATAAAAAAAAAAAAAAAGTTAGGAAAAGCTAAATTTGTGTTGACGCTCAGTGCACGTCTGTAAGATCAACGATGATGGTGTCGAAGTAAAAAGGTTACTGGTAACGATAATGATGGTGACGATGCTACTTATAATTAAAATGTTTGAAAAAAGTTGATAATTTGATTATTAGTTCATCTTTGAGATTAATCTTTAAAATCTTTGACAGCACTTCCCTTTGATTCTTCTCTTTTACTGCAAAAAGCAAGTGATTTAAACTGGGATCAAAACAGAGGTAAGAAAAAGAGAAAGAAAGAGAAAAAACGAATAAATTTTATAAACAAATAAAAGAATTTTCTTTTCTTTTAGTATTATTTTTTCTATTTTAGCTTTTTTTTTTTTTGTTTCACTCACTAATAGACATTTTAAGTAAATTAGTGGTGTCGATGGAAGAGCGTTGCTAACGGAAACATAGAAATTTATCACATTTTCATTGTATACGGCTGTGAGGAATGGCAGAATGTGTTCGCGTCATTTGTAGGTGTCGGCCATTCAATGTCCGAGAGACTGATCTCAAATCTAAGGTTCCTAAGTAATTTTTTTT